AGGTCTCTATGCAGGAGCTGAATACTTTAATCATGAACTGATATCAGCAGTTCATGAAGAGATTCGAGACAGTTCCTCTTACCAAGTCACTCAGAGCCGCGAGCAAGAGCATTCTTCGGTAGTCAACCACAGCATCGATGACGTTACGAAACGTTCACTGATAAGACAATTATATTTTACGAAAATTGACGAGCGTCTGACGAATCTAACAGCCGCCCAAGGTACTACATGCCGCTGGTTCCTCGACAGGCCGGAGTATATTTCCTGGCGTGATGTTACACAACAAGCAGATCATGGCGGTTTTCTCTGGATCAAAGGAAACCCTGGCACCGGGAAATCAACTCTAATGAAACTCCTCTTTGAAAAGTCTAAGCTCGATGCAAGAGACGACCCCTCGCAGATCATATTGTCATTTTTCTTCGTCGCACAAGGTACGATAGAGGAGAAATCGACCATGGGTCTATATCGGTCTCTTCTCCATCAACTCTTTGAAAAAGTGACGGATCTAAAAGATGTATTGGAGTGGATGACACCTGATGGTGCCAGGGGCATTCATCAAAATGGATGGCATGAAGAAGCTGCGAAACAGACCTTGATGCATGCTATTCAGAAACTTGGCAATCGGTCACTAATAATTTTCGTCGATGCGCTGGACGAGTGCGACAAGAGGCAGGCTGCAGGAATGATCTATTTCTTTGAAGAACTGTGCGACTGTGCAATGAGTGTTCAGGCACAGATGCAGATATGTTTGTCCAGCAGGCACTATCCAACCATCCTCGTTCAAAGGGGTATTGAGGTTATCCTAGAACACCAAATAGAGCACACCGAAGACATCAGATACTACATCAAATCGAGACTGAGGCTAGGGAGGTCTAAGCAAGCTGAGTCTCTTCAATCCAAGATTCTTGAGAAGTCATCCGGCATTTTTCTTTGGGTAGTCTTAGTCCTGGATCTACTGAATGCCGAGTATCCGGAAATACATGTGTCCATTCATGCGATCAGCAACCGCCTTAATGAGATCCCCCCGAGACTGGGCGATCTTTTCAACATGATTCTTTCGCGAGATGGAGAAAACCTCGAACGGCTGCAGATTTGTCTTCTATGGGTTCTATTCGCTGTCCACCCTCTCACACCCCAGGAGTTTTACTTCGCTATTCAACTTGGCATCGATAAGGAAAGTTCAATCTGTTGGGACCGGGAGGATGTGGAGTTAGATCAGATGAAGACTTTCGTGAGAACTTCATCTAAAGGGTTAGCTAAGGTCACGAGGAATGGATTCGTTCAGTTTATTCACGAATCTGTACGAGACTTTCTGCATGGGAAATATGGAGGGTATGAGCCTGAGACAAATGGTAAATTCGTGGGTGGTGGTCACAACGTTTTAAGAGACTGCTGTTTGGCTCAACTGGCTGCTCAGGTCTACCAAGACGCCGATACCATACGGGTTCACAGTGATCAAGAATATGGGGAGGCTCTAAGGTCCACGTTTCCATTTCTTGTGTACTCGGTTGAAAACATCCTTCATCATGCTAATAGCGCTCAACAACATGGAATGGGACAAGAGGAGTTTCTTGCGAAGTTTCCTTTCAGGGAGTGGACAAGACTCAGGAATACTCTGGAGGCATATGACACTTCGCGATATACAGATTCGATCACCCGTCTTTATGCCTTTGCGGAGTTAAATCTTGCTGCTCTAATTCGAGTCCTTCCGCAAGAGTCATCCTGCTTTGACATTGGCAATGAACGTTACGGGCCGCCAATCTTTGCTGCGCTGGCTACCGATAGCCATGCGGCAGTCGAGGCTTGTTTATCGATGCAAACCCAATCATTGGATTTTAGATTCCATGATTTTTATAAACAATGTCGCCAACGTGGAATTAAGTGGCCTGACTTTGGGCGCAACTTCAGCTACTCGCCAAAGCGAGGTATTCTTGTTGAACTCATAACACACGGCGATGAGATAATAAGTGTTGCTTATATTCTGACTATGAACAATATTCCTAACGATAGCGAGACTGGCCACGTGAGAGAGCATGCCGATGTTGACAGCAAGGATGATTACAATGGCCGGACGCCGCTCTCGTACGCTGCTGAGAGAGGGCACATGGCTGTTGTGCAGCTACTTCTAGCCACAGGTCGGGTCAATGTTGATAGCACGGATAGTGATTATGGCCGGACACCATTGATATATGCTGCAATGAATGGACACGAGAATATTGTGCAGCTGCTTCTTTCGACAGGTCAGGTCGATGTTGACGTTAAGGATGACTACTATGGTCGGACATCATTGTTATATGCTGCCAAAGAAGGCCATGGGACGATCGTGGATAAACTTCTTGCTACAGGCCAAGCTGACATCGAAAGTCATGATTATTATGGTCGGACGCCGCTCTCATATGCTGCTGAAAGAGGGCACAGTGCGGTTGTAGAGCGCTTTCTCACAACAGCCCAGGTTGATATCGAAAACAAAGATGGGCTTTATGACCGGACACCACTTTTATATGCTGCTACGAAGCACCATATGGGTGTTGTGTGGCTCCTCGAGAGATATGCCAGCACACGTCTCTAAATTTAGAACTTATGCACTCTCAGTACAGAGACGGCTTTATTCGTATTGCTTTTCAAAAGCAGGCTTCTGGGCAGTATTCATCTATTGCACGAACAATGTACAATGTAGCTAGTTACCATCTGCGAGCAGTAAAGGTCAGATTTAGATGGGGAAGGAAGGCATAAATATTTTCAACATAGTCCGAGGTAGAGGTACTGCTCCGAGAATAGCTTCCTCCTATGCCATGCCAGTAGCATGGAACTGTAGCTTTGATATCCCATAATCCACAACGGCCATTGCCGCCTTTCCATGGTGATCTTGTTTCCGGTATCCCGCCTCAAAGGTTTCGGTAATAGGTATGTTGAGCACGAAAGATCTGAACCCCTTTGTGAGCACCCTCTCTACCATGGCATTGGGGGAACTCTCTGCCAACATCCTCGGCTTGATCCCGTTCACGTCTCTTGCCTCCGGGTTCCCGCCGAGCTCCAATAGCCACGCTACGGTAACGCCCTGCCTCAACCATTGGCTTTCATCATCTATCCGCCGAAGGGCATAGTGCAGCGGCGTCCTCCGCCGCTTGTCTTCGGAATTCAGATCGGCACCCTCCCGGACAAGTAACCGCACAACGGACGTGAGACCCATCGCACTTGCGATATGTAGCGTTGAACATCGTTCCATGCTCCTCGGAAACGGTTTGGCAAACTCGGCGCCGCTTTCAATGAGAAGATTGGCGACTGCTTCGGACCCGAAGCAGACAGCGATTTGGAGCGGCGTCATGCGACCCCTGTGCCGTATAGACAACGACTTGAAGAGACCGGATATCTCAAGCTCATAGGGAACAGTAAAGGGGGGCCGGGCTTCGAGATCGGGTCCCTGCGCTAGTGACAATTCCGCGGTGCGGAGGAGGCCGAATCGAGCTGCCCATACTAGGGCGATGCCTCGGCCATTCTCGACATCGACGACATCGGATCGGTAGAGATAGTCATTCAGTACTTGATATAAACGTCTGCTGGTCCTGACGAGAGCTGCCAGATCGTGAATTTCCGCGATGGCATCCGCGACGGCGAAGATCAGCTCGTTTGGTAAATCTAATATCGATATTTTCATGGCGGATGCGGATTGAAAGACGAAAGGAGAGAGAAAGACACAAGAAGGAAGAAACAGCGAGCCGATGGCTTCATCAGCTCCAGTGCGCCACCTTTTTGAGGCATTGTGACCGCGCGCCCACGACGGAGGATGCGGTTCTCAGCAGCTCCGTGTTGAGAGGGTGCCCGCAAACAGCCGAGGACGTAGTCATTTGATGTTCATTGGCAGAGCAGCAGCTGCAAGCGGGCTTGCTAGAGGGCTGGGCGACCGAATCAAAGGGCAGATCAGCCAGGCTTATTTTCGGGGCGCCTACTGCAGAGGAGATGCTCTTGCATGACAATGGGGGACGTGACCAGGTCGAGGAGGGTGTGGGGATGCTCCACGGCGGGTTGGATGGGTTGGGTGAGAAAGACAATGGGCTCTTCCAGCTTGCGGCCAGTGGATGGCCTGATGCCGTCCTGGGGCATCTGATTTGAAGACCTGGTGAAGGGCATGCATCTGTCTGTCTCTCTGACTATGGCCGACAATCTTCGCTCCCAGTATTGTCGTAAGTCAAACCTAGACAATCATCGGGATGTAAGAGTAAGCAGAGCGTCGCACGGCACCGAGTCCGACGGGTATTGTTCTTGGCATGACAGCTGAGCTGCCAACACTGATTGAAGTTCATAAACCGTGGCAATGACTCATGCAGTAAACACAACCTACAGCAACCAAGCAAGTAGTTGAAGGGAGGATGGGAATATATGAGGAGACAGTTGGTACAAGCAACTGAGATATCAGCCTGTTATATGAGCCACATGGATAAGCAAATGTGTCTTTAAAAAACGGTCATACTGGCTGGCATCAAAGAATCTGAGTGTGACGGAGTTGTCGAATGTGATAGAGTTAGTCTTTCACTATCTAGCGCCTTCGATGGGTGGTGTTCTTCGCTTGAAGCTTATCAGCTTATCGTCGCAATGTACAGTTAATGTGGGAATGCGGTGAAAAGGTACCTCATCCATCAGAACAAGCTGTCCACTACAGGGGTCTGACAGCTAAAATTCCCCAAACCGTGGCCTTTTCGTCACTGCGCAAGAGGAGCTTGAACGACACCAGGCCAGATCCAGCATTTTGAAGCCACATCCGTGCAGCTCTTGAGGCCAGATTCCACCCCCCTACCTACAGAACTGGCTTCGTTGTTTCTTAAGAATACGGGCGTTGTTCTCTGACATTTTAATTCCTCTCCACGCCTTCCCTCAGCGAACTCGGCCCTGTTGCCGTACTTTCATTCCTTTAGCGACTGTGACATCCTGCCACCTTTGAAGTATTCGAGCTACCTACTTCTACCGAGCATCGAGTCGGCGATACCCCACCACATCCGCCCAGCATGGCGAGATCAATGCTGTCGCCGCTGAGGATACTCCTCTGTGCGGCCTTCTTCTTCTCTACACATGTCTTTGCAGTATCAGCTGTTCTGGGAGTCGACCTAGGAACAGAATATATCAAGGCCGCCCTTGTCAAGCCTGGCATCCCCCTCGAGATCGTCCTGACGAAGGATTCGCGACGAAAAGAAGCCTCTGCAGTCGCCTTCAAACCCCCTCAGAATGGCGCAAAGGCTGGCACATACCCCGAGAGGCTCTACGGCTCAGACGCCATGGCTCTCGCAGCTCGGTTTCCTGGCGATGTGTACCCGAATTTGAAGGCTCTTCTCGGCCTGCCGACTGACAGCCCGGTCGTCAAGGATTACGCATCACGACACCCGGCCCTGCAACTGGAGACACACAAGCTACGGGATACCGCTGCATTCAAGAGCAAGGACGCATTCACGGCCGAGGAGGACTCGTTCCTGGTCGAGGAGCTGCTTGCCATGGAGCTGCAGAGCATACAGAAGAACGCCGAGGCATTGGCTGGCTCAGGGACGTCTGTCCGCTCCGTCGTGATCACTGTGCCTCCTTTCTACACCATCGAAGAGAAGCGCGCCATCGAACTGGCTGCTGACCTCGCTGGGCTGAAGGTCCTGTCCCTCATCAGCGATGGTCTAGCTGTCGGTTTGAACTACGCTACCAGCCGCCAATTTCCCAACATCAACGACGGAGGAAAGCCCGAGCACCACATGGTCTTTGACATGGGAGCTGGCTCTACGAAGGCGACTATCTTGAAGATGCAGAGTCGTACGGTTAAGGACGTCGGCAAATTCAACAAGACGATTCAGGAAGTGATTGTTTCAGGAAGCGGCTGGGATCGATCCCTGGGTGGTGATGCCCTCAACGCTCTCATTGTGGACGATATGGTCGAGAAGTTTGTGGAGACCTCCGGCGCCAAGAAGATCTCGGCCGCGTCTGAGGGTGTCAAGGCTCATGGTCGAGCCATCGCAAAGCTGTCCAAGGAGGCTGAACGACTACGTCACGTCCTAAGCGCCAACCAGAACACGCAAGCAAGCTTCGAGGGTCTATACGAGGATGTTGACTTCAGATACAAGATCACCCGAGCTGATTTCGAGAGCATGTGCGAGGCCCATGCCGAGAGAGTCGGCCGCGCGGTGGACAGTGCGCTTGAGATGGCTGGTCTGAAGGTCAGCGATCTGGACTCGGTCATTCTCCACGGCGGTGCCACTCGCACACCCTTCGTTCAGAAGGAGCTCGAGAAGATCTTCGGCGGCGCCGACAAGCTTCGTAGCAACGTCAACTCGGACGAAGCCGCGGTGTTTGGTGCTGGTTTCCGCGCTGCGGAGATCAGCCCCAGCTTCCGTGTCAAGGAGATCCGGATTTCTGAAGGCTCTGTCTACTCCGCTGGCATGAAGTGGACCAACGAGAAGCAGAAGGCACAGCATCAGCGACTATGGACATCTACATCCTACCTTGGGGCGCCGGCGAAGGAAGTCACTTTCAACAACAAGGAAGACTTCACCGTCGATTTCTACCAGCAGGTTCCTCCTGCCGCCAACGATGTCACCCCTGGCATTGAGGAGCGCACTACCAAGGTTCTGTCTACCAAGAACCTCACGGCAACTGTGGCAATGCTTGGAGAGAAGTACTCGTGTGAGCCAAGCGCTGTTCAGTTCAAGGTCGGCCTTCGTCTAGCAAGCGAGAATGGCGAGGTCGAGGTCACCAAAGCGTACGTCGAGTGCGAAGCCGAGGTCGTCGAGAAGGAAGGATTTGTCGACGGTGTTAAGAACTTGTTTGGCTTTGGAAAGAAAGACCAGCAGCCCATCAAGGACGGCGAAGCCTCCGAAGATGCTGAGGGTTCCTCGTCAGCTTCTGCGGAGCCCTCGACAACCACAGAATCGAGCGAAGCCACCTCGTCCACATCGACTACATCTACTGTCGCTGCGTCAGAATCTGCCGAGGCGACAGGAAAAAAGACAAAGAAGATGGTCTCAATCCCTGTTCAGTACGAGCTGAAGAAGGCTGGTATCCCCCAGTTGGAGAAGGCTGACCTTACAAGTCTCAAGGACCGACTGAAGGCATTCGAGGCGTCCGACCGCTCGCGTAGACTGCGAGAGGAGGCACTCAATCAGCTTGAAGGGTTCACATACAAGGTCCGAGATCTGCTTGACAGCGAGGTCTTCATTGCTGCCTCGACTGAAGAGGAACGATCAACCCTCGAGAAGAAGAGCAGCGAGGCTAGTGAGTGGTTGTATGGCGATGGCGCAGATGCCTCCAGAGAAGAGCTGAAGAAACGCCACAAGGAACTCCAGGACATTGTTATCCTTGTACAAAAGCGTATAGAGGAGGGGTCTAAGCGTCCTGAGCTGATCCAGGGTCTGAAGGAGGCATTGAACCAGACAAATGAGTTCGTAAATAATATCAAAGAGAAGATCGCCGAGGCCGAGGCCTGGAGCTCTTCTCAGGCAGCATCCTCAACGGCCTCATCCGAGTCGTCAAGCACAGTCACTGCGGCACCTTCTGCTGATGACTTTGCTGGACTTGAGGATGAAGACAGCACTTCGACCACCACGGCCAAGGACATGGATGACGTTCTCAAGGAGCGCGGCCCGGTTCCGCCTCTATACAAACTTGAGGATCTTAAAGAATCTGAGGACTTGTACCAATCTATCACTGAGTGGCTGAAGGAGAAGGAGGCCGAACAACACAAGCTGGGACCTACGGATGACCCTGTACTTACTGTCAAAGAGCTGACCGAGAAGCGGGAGAAGCTCGACAAGGCGGGCATGGATCTGGCGATGAAGGGCGTGAAAAACTTTGAAGGAAAGAAGAAGAGCAAGGGGAGTAAGTCAAGCAAGACAGGGGCGGCTGGCGAGGAGCCCACGCTTGAGATCAAGCCCGATGAGGAGGGCCAGATGCCGTCGCAGGAGGAGATCGAAGAGATGATCAAAAAGTTCCAGGAGGAGGCGGCGGCCAAGGCAAAGGAAGGCAAGACGGATGGGGCGCCCAAGCACGATGAGCTATGATGCGCCGTGCTAGTGAGCTATGCATTTAGACGGAGCTGGAGTTTGGGTGTCATCTTGTAGAATCAAAAGCCTAAATATCATGAACATCTTACCAAACATGACCATCTTGACCTTTGTCATATACTGCTTGTGGTCGGGGTTGTGCCCTCTCCTCGCCACTAACCACCCTTCACGTCTCACCTTGCACGTCAAATAGCGTGCCTGTATCACGATCTTGGTCTTCATCTCGTATTGCGCAGAGCCTCGCTGCTTAGCCATCAGTCGTAATGTAGCCTGGCTACGGACTGCCGGGTGCACCACAAACCACGAGGCTAACAGAGTGAGATCAATGCTGGAGCGTAACCTGTCCACCAGCACTGTGACGGATGACATAGCTCTTGGCGGTCTTTTATGTACGACCACCGGCGCTGGCTCGGCCGCTCTCCTGCAATTTGCATGGCGGCTACCGCTCGACCGTTTCATGTAGAACCCCGAGCATGTCGGTAGCCGTTGGCAGCGTGAGGCGAACAAGGTGAGGAAGGGCACCCTTCACCGGGATTGGAGGTGTAGCCGATGTTGACCGGGACCAGTGCCAGCTGAAGCTAGCTATTCCTGTACATGTACTCCACGGAGGCCGTGCTACTCAGTCCATGGTCATCGCTTGATGAAAGAGCTAAAGTCAACGTAGGTGTTCCGTTTGCAACCGCTCGGAACCCCCCCTTTTTTTGACGAGAGTCATGGACAGCTGCATAGCCGAAGTGGGCTTGTGTTGCCTGTCGCCTGCATCTCTTCCCAGGACGGAGTCTAATGCATAGGGAAAGTGCAGATTTGGCGTCCCGTGCTCTTGGCTCCCATTGAGATAGTCAATTGGGGAGAAACGTGCTCAGGAGACCTGAGTTTGGGTGTGGTGAATTGGGAATGTCTCTGTTGTCCTACACTAGGAGACATTCGAACCGTAGGCCATCGCCACCTTCGGCAGTCAACACATCTGCATTTCTTCTTCTTCCGGATTTCTTTCATCCCGTCTTGTAATTCTGCTTGAGAAAGTGCCTGTTCTTTAGGTCTGCTCTCTTTTCTTTCTTTTAGGTGTCTTCTTCCTGCTCACAAGCAACATCTTCTGATTCATGGTCTCTCGTTAAAGGCGTCGGACAGGACACGCTTTGGTGTAATCGAAATCAGTATTTCCACTTCTTTGCACTCCTTCCATTATTCCCATACCTATTGTGTGCTGTCAAATAAAGTTGTTGGTGTAGACGCGCTTACAACGCGACGGTAGCCTTTGAAGATCACAATCGTTTCTTTCTCCCTCGCAAGTCAGGGCCCAGCAAGCAGACTGCTTAAAACAAAGCCCATCCTTCCTTCCCTCAAGATCTCCTGTCCGACCTCACGTTTATTTTGATAAGCTCTTTCCTCCCGCGTGAGTTTTTCCACTCACCCCTACACGTCGTCACTTCCTCGTCTTCATTGTGCCTCCCCTGGGTGTTTCCTCCCAAGTAACATTCTAGACTCTATCTCCAGCATCATTCAAGCCAGGCCTCACTGACTTTTCAAGACACCACAAGATGGCCATACTGCCCATCTTCCTGCAGGCCTTTTGGCTCTGCATCACGCTCTTTGTCAGTTTGGCAGCTAGCCATCCTGCAGCTGCAGGTACCAGAGCCACAGCTCGCCGCAGCTTCTCCCTCGATGTTGTCCGCAATCCTGCCTTCGCGCGTAACGGTCCGCATGCCTACTCAAAGGCATTGAATAAATACGGTGCCGATCTACCTGATGACTTCTTCGATGCCACCCAGATCAAAGGCGCAGGTATGATACCTTTCCCCGATTATGAGTTGCTGACTGATACATCTGCTAACCGTATGTTACAATTTCAACAGTCGGATCTGTCCCTGCTTGGAACCAATCTTTTGATCGCGAGTACCTCAGTCCTGTCCTTATTGGCACACCTCCTCAGGTGGTGATGCTGGATATCGATACTGGATCTTCAGATCTGTATGTACTCGCATATATCTCGCCTGGCACGATCAGGCCAGAATGACTATGAGAAATAGTAACACTTACTGACTTTGTCCCAGTTGGATCTTCTCGACCGACACACAGATCCTTGGCTTCAACGATCGGCGCATATATCATCCCCATAACTCTAGCACATCAATCAGGCAGGCGAACACAACATGGTACATCACATATGGTATGTCGGCTTCTCCGTACATGCAATCTCTGCAAACCACTTGTTAACACAGCTGACTGTTCACCCTAGGCGATCAAAGCTATGCCACAGGTGTCGTATATACCGACGACGTTCAGCTTGGCGAGATCACCGTCAAAAACGCCACTGTGGAGTCCGCTACAACGGCCGCGGAGGCTATTGTTGACGATCCTACCATATCAGGGCTCCTGGGTCTTTCTTTCAACCACAGCTCGACGGTCTCGCCACAGATGCCGACCTTGCTCGATCAGCTGACAAGTGAATACGATGTCAATCTGTTCACTGCCGACCTCAAATACCATGACAAGGGCAAGTATACCTTCGGTGAGATCGAGGACGGCGCGTACACCGGCAACATCTCGTGGCAAGCAATTCTGCCGGGCTCCAACTTCTGGCATATCCACATGACCATCTTCCAGATCGGGGGCTCCTCTCAACGTCTCATCTCCCGATGGCCCGTCATCGTGGACACCGGCACGACACTGGCCCTGATACAGGAGGACCTCGCCCAGCTGTACTGGGACCAGGTGCCCGGCGCGCACTACGACGTGAGCTATCCCGGATATGTGTATCCTTGCAACGCGACGCTGCCGGATCTCATCTTCGGCTTTAACAACGACAAGTGGACGGGGGTCGTGCCGGGTGAGTACATCAACTACCAGGCCCTACCGACCAAGGGCGAGTGCTACGGCGGCATCCAAGGCAATCGCGGCCTGCCGTTCGCCATCCTTGGCGACATGTTGCTCAAGGCCGTCTTCGTTGTCTTCGACGCCGAAAATGAGCGCGTCGGCTTCGCGAACAAGGACCTCCATTGAGGATCGACGTCATCCCCTTCTCATCCATCTCTCATGCGGTGGTTAAATGCAGAGCTTGGGAGTGAGAGGGTTTGGGTTTCACATCTTCGAGAAGGCACTTTTAGGGAAGGTTTAGGCTAGGCGTTTGATGTGCGTGGGTTGTGCGGTTTGAAAGGGGCGGTTCAACAGCACGTGGAAGTCATGCCGTCGTTTTCTCCCTAGACGCCCTCTCTTTCACCAACTCTGGTTCCGGGCCGTGCGGTACTAAATGCGGCTGAAATCGAGGACAGGGGCAGAACTCAAATCTGGCTTGGAAGCTGTACTGTACCATTTTTGCAACGCTCTCTTCTGGTAGTAATGACAGTGATATCGTCGTATGCTAAGAATCTTTACGATGCCGTGATTCTCTATGTGGGTTTCCACGTGCCTTCTTTTTTACGTGCCTTCGTCCAAGACATTTGATCGGCGCCTATGGTGAGACCTGGTGCAGGGACTAGAGTCAACGGACGTGCGCCAGGAGAGGACCACCCAACAACGAACAGCAGTTCACACGTCAACAAACACCTCACAATTTGCAAAATATTCAAACATGCAATACGCACTGCCAATGGTATGTATGTACATGTTTCCCCGGCGGGGGCGCGCAGTGGGCTTTGATAACCTAGAAGCGCCATGGAATGAATGTTCTCGTTTCCAAGACCACCATTGCCACTACCACTGCCGTCCCATCAGCAATCCAACAGATGCTTTCCTCTTCCTTCCACTTCCGTCAACCCCCTTTCCGATGTTTGTGTGAAAATGCCACAGAATTAACCCCATGCTTGCTTTGATAATAAATAAACCATTCTACTGCAAAAAAGGCCATGTGTGTGTATTGTATGGTTGTGTGTGTTGTAGTGTCTCAACGATGGCGCGAAGTTGAACAAGGGCAGGGACGCAGAACTCGTCGTCGTAGACTCGAGGGTTCGGGGGGTAATAATAATAATTTCGTCATCCTGAAAACGCCTGAAACGAATGGACTCGAGTTTCGATGTTGTTGTCGTTTGACAGGCAGTCCGTCCAGAGACAGAGAGCTGTATGATCCTGGCCGTAACGAGTCCTGGGGGAAAAAAACATATAACGTAGCGACTGTGCGGCTGCACGGGGGCGCCCATGCAGCAGCGGGTATGGGGGAGGTTGGGATTTCCAATCGCGTCAATGCTTTCGTTTCAAAAGATGGGGAGGTGGACGGATAGATGGCCGTCTGGTCGTAGTCTATGTGGGTGGTGTCGCGGGAAAAAAAGGAACAAAACGTGGGAGCAGCGACAGCAGTTGTCGCCTCTTATTCGTGCTGGCTGGTCGGTCTTACGAGTCCCTTTGGCCATCGCCGTCTACTCCAGACACAATCACAAAGTCAGCACAACTTTCGCTCTCGGAGCCAGTATTCTGATGGGGGTCTTCGGGGAGGAGGGTGGTGGTGGTGGCATTGGTGGTGGTCTGCGGCTCTGCACGGGGCGGTCGCCTCCTCTGCGGCACGGGGATATGCGGGTGCTGGTTGTGCTGGTGCTGGTGCTGGTGCTGGTGCTGGTGCTGGTGGTGATCATTGTGCGTGTTCTTCTTCTTCATCATCATCTTCTTCTTCTGCGTGTCACCACCGTCGGAGGGAGCATCAACAAACTCAAACTCGTATTCACCTTCACTGGCCGTCGGCGTGGGCGGCAGGGCGCCCGGCACTGCCTGCTGGCTCGCGCGCGCCGTCCCGGGGCGGGACCCGTGCTTTGCGTCCTGCTGCTGCTGCTGTGTGCGGCTGCTAGCGGGCCGTCTGTTGTCCTTCTCGGGCACCTGGGGGGGCGCGTCGGACGGCTCGCCGAAGGCGCCAGACACGGGCGGTCGCTGCGTCCGGGGGCTGGCGGGGGGCATGGACTGGCGCTTGAGTCGCTCTTCCATCTCCTTTATGCGGGCCTCGAGGGCCTCGAGCTCTGAGGTCTGTGACTGGACGACATGCTTCCTGCAGAATTGGACAGTGACTCGTCAGTGAATGATTGCTTGCTTGATTGATTGACTGATTTGTGGGGTTCTGAATGTGTAGTAATAGTAGTAGTAGTAGTGTGAAGCGGGTAGCGGGTGCGCGAGTCGAGTTGGGACACGCTTGTTGAGGTTAGGGGGCGGTAAGGGCCGTTCGGGGGGATACACACCGCTTGTCCACCTTCTCGTCCAAATCGGCGACGCTGTTCTCGATGCGGAAGATGTCCATGAGCTCTTGGGAGAAGGAGCGGGCAATCGTTCTATGGTCGAAAGGCTACGGTCAGTCGTATTTCGTCGACAAATCCCCCAGCTCGGGCGCTGCTTGTGAGCAGCATGTGGAAGGGGGACGGGACAAACGCACGATTGCGGGCGGCGGCCGCTGGGCTTCCAGTCCCGGTCGAGTTCTTCGTCGGTCATCATGTTGCCGAATGAGTAGGCTTAGGCCTAGTAAGTTTCTGAAAGTTTGTAGGTCTGAAGAGATCGTCGAGACACCGAATAGAGGCGTGTGCAGCTTGCGGCAGAGGGGGCGATGGAGGGGTGGAAGTCGCTTTTTGCTGGAAGGTCTGGTGTGTCTGGCTGGCTGGCTGGAGGAGGGTTGGGGGAGGAGGCGGAGGTCGATTGATTGATATATATTAGGGCGGTTGTAAGGGGGTCCCTTATCCTGGTGCCACCTGCTGATAGGGCGCCGCTTCTCCTATGCGGAGGTGCCTGGGTAATGCACCTTGTGACGGACAGGACTGACAGGGGACACGGTACACCTATAGAACTTTTGATGTAGAATACGGGTAGGAATTGCAGTCAAATGGTTTCCGTTCGGTCGGTCGGCAAGAGTTCAGAGCAGTGATAGATGTAGCGAGTACTGCTGCGTACCTAGGTAAGGTCGACGGGATTCCTAGTTGGAATGAGCGTCACCTGCACTGGACGGGACGGGAGTGGACTACCTGAGTACTCAAAAGACCCTGCAGGGGACTCCGGGTCGAGGTCGGCACAGACAATCGTCGGTCAGTCAGCCTCTGGAGGCGGTAACGGTATCAAAAGTCTACCTTGGGTTACTGCAGCGCTTGTCGATCAAGGGGCCGGCGTTTATTCAGGGTGCGAAGAGGCGAGGCTGCTGGGCAGATTATGCCACTGTCAAAAGTTGAAGAGTGGACAGATGGACTCAAGAGAGGGAAAAGGAACAGGAAAAAAGGCAGTCGGTCAGTCAGGTAACGTTAGGTGGACGGATAGGTCTGAAACAGGCTGGTAAAGGATGGTGGAATGGGGGGGGGGTGGAGGGTCCATACCAACACAGATCCATAGTAGGTAAGAGTAGAGTTCATGCAATGAAGCTGAGTGGTGATCTAAATCTCCAGCACGGTCCGTCTGGGGCGGGGGGCCCATGGAGATTTCCCATCTCATCTGTGTTGGGCATTGCATAATACCAGTCTAGGGAGTTGGGTCAGTGTGATAATGCATTGCATGCCTCGCCTCCTCTCCCATTTGCCTCTCCTTGCCACTTTACATAGTCAGGATAGTACGTCGTCCACAGCATGAGATTGGCATAAAGGGTCCAAGGTCCAAGTCGCATCGTCTCACCTTGCTAGTTCCAGCGCATGACTGCCCAGCCCTGTTCCCTGCACCGATCCGATCATAGGGGCTTCTCCAAGGGGCTTCATTCAATCAGTCATCCATTGGATACCTAATTACCTACATACTCTCAAAGCCGGAGAAAATCGCGACCATAACTTGGTTTGCTCTTTCTGTACGACAAATGAAGACATAGTTCATGGGTTGTAGCAATTCTCATAATGAGATGATGTACACTACCCGGGCATCTATAGAGAACCAATTACCAATACCACCCTATGAGGTACGCCGTACATACATCCATAATTGCTGCAGGCGGGAAAAGGAGCCGCATGCTATGCACAACACGCCAGACGGCAACTATTGCGTAGTAGATGCCCGCAGTTGTCATCCTGTAGGCACATCAACGTGTGCCTTATGCCCAACACTGACTTAGCTGTCTTGATGGATGAGTAGTGGAGAGCAGAATGATCATTCGTCACTGGTCACTATGGCGAGGCAGCAGCATGGCTTAGACGTATGGGCGAGATCACGTATCAAACACGGCTATCATACGGCCACATCATCTGCCCCATCCTCGAGTCGTGACATGCTGTTAGAAGCTTGGTTAAACAGTGACCATTTGTGCTCAAACTCAGGCACAGCATGACGAATGAACCCTCGGCGCTCTAATAATAATCGATCAATGTGGAGGGGCATAATTTGGCCTGCCATTTTCTTTAACAACAGTCAGTCCCAGTCCATCCATTCCGGCATGGGTCGCCGTCATTTGACCTGGACCCGGTTTTCATGTTACTGCTAATCTGAACGAGAATTCCCCCCTTTTCCGACATTGCACCCTCCTTTTGGGCCAACCATGCGGTCCCCTAACCCACATCAATTGCAAGTCCTGGCCACTTACCGTCGTATCCTGTAGTACGGTAATTAAGACTGCACTAAGTCGTTTCTTCACAAAGTGCGGGAGCTAAAGAAGTTCGAGCTGCTACTCTGGCACGTTTAGCTCGTTCTCCAGTAATGAGACGACTCTAGGTTCGCTCAGTCTGTCGATTTCCCAGAGATAGGTATCTGTCTAGTTTGTTGGGCATTTTGGCTTGGGCACTTGAACATGAACATCTCGGTCCAATACGTAAAATGAGGGAGAGCAAGGAGGATAGATAGGCAACATACGTCGTGATACCTGTGCTAGAGCTGCAAGTGGTCGCTGAGCTGCCTCCCAGTGGCACTTTACTTCAAGCCACTTGGCTTCTCAAGGTTGACTAGTCATAGTGTCTGGAAAAATTAGACAGCTACATGGAACGTTCAAGCTGTCGAAGATGCCTAGCTAGAATCATGGAGGTGTCTGCAGTTGGTTGCCGCCAACGCGGGTCTTATGAGGCGCGGAGATTCATGAGAGTATGCTCATTTCTTCTAAAAGACCAGCTCAGGCGTTCTGCACTTGAGATCCAGTAGTAGATCTGCCTAATCATACACGTAATGCGCAGATCATTGAATTGCTTCGAGCTGAAGGGCACGAATCTGCAACCGACTAGACAATCTAAGGTTCAAGACAAGCAAGTTTATGGTGCACATATCCGCCTCTGAACGGCGATGGCTTAGGCTCTCTCCAGCGGCTTATCTCGGTCTTGTCAGATTTAGTGTAGGTGGCATGTGCTGTGCTGACTGGAGTAGTCACATGACAGAAACTCTAATTCCAAATGGACAGCTGGCCTCAGCTGGTCGCCGCCCCGCCAGTCTCTGCCGCCTGTCTGCACCTGCAATTCTCCTTCCAAGCGCAAACCGGAGCAGAAATTCCTCTGCTGCTACACCCAAAACATCCCCATCAACCAGGAAACAAGCCTGCTCACGTGACTTCCCAACAGCGAAGCAGAGAAAAAAAAACATCACGACGTCGCGGTCGCGCCCCGAGGAGAGCCTCAATAGCCGCCCCTAATCCATGAAATCCATCAAATAGACGTCAGGAGTGCTCTGTGTCCCTGATTAAGGCTGCCTGTACGTTCTTTTTCGCGCGTTTCGCGCCTCGCTGCCGTCGGTGGCCTCTAAAACTAACGCATCGCATGCAGACCGTGGCGCCGCTTCACCTTCTGCAGAGACGAGACGGTCCCCTCGATCACTGGCGAGGCGGATACTGGGGCATGAATACTACGGCACCCTATACTCCGCTTGAGTCATTATTGCTGTTTCAATCGCTACTCCAGTACGGCATCGAGGCCGCCGCCTTCTCGCAGATCTCCCAGAGCCTACAGAACAATTCACTTATCAAAGGAGGCAAAAGCTACGATGCAGGTCGATTAAGCCCAGAGTCTCTCCAGGAGCTCTTTCTGCAATTACTGCGGGAAGAGTTGAAGAGCGAGAACGAACACGCCGAGAGACCCGACACCTCGCTGTCGCCAAACAGCAAGAAGCGCAAGCTTCAGGCACCGCCGCTGCCAACTCTTCAGGATGCCCGCGCGCATGTCGCCAAGCTACCCCTCCTGGTAGACCGTCTATATGCCAGGTATCGTGATTATACTGTTAGGGAAATCCGCGAGGATGAGCAAAGATACAAGCAGTTGCGCCAGGAGATCACCGAGCTTGAACGGGGCGAGTTGGATGAGCAAGCTAATGCGGAGGGCGACTCGGCAGAGAAGCGTGTGACAGCGGACACGCAAAGTCCCGCTGGCGAGAATGGCATTTCAAAGGTGGAAGACCGGAAAGAGGAGAAGCTCTCAAATGGAACAGGCCCGTCACTCGCACCGCAAGCGCAGGAGAACTTGCAAAGAAGCCCTGCTGCTGCGCCACGACATCCGTCTCCAGCAAGACAAACACCGGTCCCCACGCCCCCAACCGTTGCGCAGCCACCTGTTGCGCCTCCGAGTCAGTTTGGGCAGACCGGCGCACCGATCAGACCTCCGGAGCCTTCCAAGTCGCCCAACGGGGCACCACCGGTTCTGCAGCCACCACAAGGCGTTCCGTCGTTCTCACCTCGCCCTGCATCAACTACTCCCCAGCCAGCAGCATCGGATGTGTTACAACGACCTGATGCGGCTCTCAAGCCAAAGCCGCCTACTCCGTCGCCACAGGTGCAACCCCCTGTTACAGGAACGCGAACCTTAAAGTGGGAAACCCCTTATCAGCCTCAGCCGCCTACAGCTCTTCAACAACAGCAGAGGCCGCCTCAAGCTGGTGCTGCATACCCTCCTCTTCAGAGAGGCCATCCACCCCAGCAGTGGGGCGCTCAAACCCATTTGCAATATCCCTCGCCTCAACCTCTTCAGCCACAACCGCCTCAGGCTACCGGACAAGCTATTCCTTCACAGCCCCGGCCGGTTCTAGCACAACCTCAGCAAGCCGGCCAGATACCACCTACACTACAACCCGCACCCATCAGACCAGCTACGGAGTCTCCCGGAGTTGTGCAACAGCAACGGCCGCCATCTATTTCTCCAGTGCCTCTGCAAGCCCGTCCGCCACAGCAATCTCAACAGCAAATCTATCCACAGCCTCCCCAAATCCCTCCAGGACGCGTTCCGGGCGGCGTGTCTCCAGTACCGCCACCAGCTACGTCTACGAGCCCTGTTCCACCCCAACAGTGGCAGCAGTCAGCTAACGCAGCACCACATCAACCATCACTGCAGCCACAGCTCGTGGCCCCCGGTCCTCCAACCTCAGCAGCTCCTATTCAAGGTGAAACTAAGCAACCTCTGCCGCACAAACCTACCCACATACCCCTACCTCCGCACATCCTCACTCAACACACATCTACGCCGGGGCCTTCATCGAAGACTCGTCACACTCCTATCTTACCGCAAACACCCATTGCGTTGCCGTCTCCTTTCTCTGTTACACAAGGAAGCGGAACGAAATGGAGGTCAGCACAACCGACACCATCCACCCCTCATCCGGGCATTGGTGATGTGGAGAGTCCCGCTTTTGAGATGCTGAGTCCCATACTACAGCCTGCAACACTTCCTGTACAGCCTACGCATTCGTCACCCAAGAAGGAGTCCTCAAAACCTCAAAAGCCTGATGCGGCTGTATCCAAGGCAACAAGGGGCCGTGCCTCCCGAAGTGCACAGAAGGCTCGCGAAGCAGCTGAAACGCCCGTCCCGGAAACTTCACGGCGTCTCCGCAGCACGTCGGTCGTCTCCACTGTCGATGGCCAGATAGATCAGGGCTCAGCCAAAGTCAAGCGCGAAGAAGATACGCCCAAACCCCTTGACGAGACCGGCGACACAACGGCCGATGAGAGTCTCCCAAGCCGCCGTCGCTTCGCTACACCTAGCCGTGTATCGTCGCGTGCGATTAATAAGCGGAAGCGTCAAGACTCTGTACCAACGGAGCATCCACCACCTTCTGGTGCTCCGACGCATGTGTTATGGACACGAGGCTTCCCCAGAGTCAGCTCGTCAGCTCTCGACCAGATTGGTAGCCACAGATATGCCAACATGTTTGCGCACCAGATTCGTGAGCGGGATGCTCCAGGTTACAAGAGCATTGTTCTTCGGCCGCAAGATTTGAAGTCGATTCGGACTGCCATAATCGCTGGTAACAAAGCTGCAGCTGCAGCCGCCGCCGCTTTACCCGATGGCGACCCTGGCACGATCAGTGTTTGGCTGCCAATCACCGAGGACATCATTCCGCCGCGTGGTATCATCAACAGCGCCCAGCTTGAGCGAGAGCTCGTGCACATGTTCTGCAATGCCATTATGTACAATCCAGATCCGTTTCGAGGGCCAGGTCCCGCATTTATGCGGCCACCCAGTGGGGCCAAGGTTGGAACAGATGTTCATGGCCATGGCGGCGATGTAATTGGCTACAAAGTGGACGAGAACAGCATCGTCAATGATACTCAGGCCATGTTTGTTGAAGTAGAGAAACTCCTCAGCGATCTCCGTTCTACTGAAGCACAACCTGGTGCTCCACCGCCAGCGCTTCCCCCTGGTGCCATACCTAATAGTGAAAGGCTGGCAGGCCGGGGGCCTCATGCGATTAGGGAGCCCACTGCTACGGAAGACGAAGGCGATGACACCACCACCACTCATACTGAAGCAGAAGGCTCAGGCAACACGATTAAGAGACGGCGTATTGCCAGGGGCTGAGACTGGGTTGATAGTCTAGCGTTTTGTATTACTTGATTTACCGGCGAGCCTGGAGCGTGCGGGAGGGCTGGCATCTGGCTTGCTTTAAGGGGTGTTTGGACCATGGACCCTAACACATTCCCCGTCAGAGAGCAACTCATGTTGACTGCAATGTAGATGTACCAGTATGATTAGACATGCATGTAAAGAATAAAGTGCTGATAGCACAATAATAATTCCTCCTCCATTGGTACTGAGTCACTCCTGCTTAGTGAAAGGATGATCTTTGTATGTGTACAGTAAGCTTTCACCTGAAATATTTCCTGGGACAGGTAATCAATGATGTGAAAATTCTTACAGAAATGGACAAAGTCAACATCATCTCATCTCTCAATGAGTCAAAAGAGTTAATGGAAAGTACTGTGGCCGTGGCTTTTGGCACGTGAGCAGGCAGGCACCTGAGGTTAGAAATAAACAAAGCAGTGACTGACGTCGTTGTCTGTTCCGGTGAAGCTATTATCTCCATCCGTGAATTCTACACCTTCACAACACCTTTCCCAACAACTGAGACGTGTTTTCTGAGACACGTCTTGGAAGGGATCCCGGGTTGGTATCACTGGCTTTCTGGTGTTCTTTCTGATCTTTAATAAAGAACAAAAGGTATGATCATCCCCGGTCCTTTATTTCTGAATTCCTAGATCTGACGGCAGTCTCAGACGTGCCGTGACTGCTTGCCCCCGACCATCCTGTCTCCCGACAACCACAAATCGTCAACAACTTCACGGATCTCACCCGTTCCACCATATTCTCTACCATCTATTCATCACGGAAGGTCATTCCAGCCTATCAAGATGGCGCCCACTGAATTCCACAAGTTTGGTGAGCTCCCGCCTGAACTCAGACTCGACATCTGGGAGCTTGCCATGCGTGACTGCCGACCAGGGGTACACATATTCAATGTGAACAAGGTACCTCCCGAACACCAACAAGAGTCATTCCCCAGTGAGCCAGGAGAGGTCACTTTACTGGGCATCGAGAAGAAAGGTTGTTCCACTTTCGGGCATTCTGAGACTGTCAAGGTCGGGGATTCGGTTGTCGTGCGCAACTGTTCTACTTATCTTATCGACAGTGGTATGTGGACGGCTTGTCAAGAGTCAAAGAGAGTCATGGAAGCACGTGTAGAGAGCGTTCATCGCTACTACCAATGCTGTATGTACCGCCATGAGAAAGGTGCAATCTCCTTCCAGAGAGAGACACCGCCGCAATTCCCTGGCAGAACCGCTTCATTCATCAACAAAGATGGAGAACAGCAGTTCTTCCATATCTACAGCCGCGACCTCATTATCTTGAAGCCGCTTCACAGATTCCAGGTCTGGCCGAACATGTCTCACATTGCACTGGAGTTCTTCCCGGGTTGGGCCCATGATTCGTATCACCGCTATCTGCGCAACCTGGCTGGATTTGCAGCGAACCTCGACTTCCTTTGGTTCATTGACCACACGCTGACAAGAGCCCCTGGCTTTGAGGGCGCCCTTCCCAACCATACTTACGTGTTCTACGGCAAGGGATTCCGGATGGTGGAAGTTCGCCGTGGCGACGACGGCTGGGTGCACAGCGACATGTCGCCCCCCGGCAGCAACGGCCCCGGATGTTTCTCTGCCATCGACATCATGCGTCAGGAGCAAGACCGCATGAATGCGGAGACTTTCGAGCAGTATTCTGAGGATCCTGAAGACGTCTCCCCGTATGTCGGTGCGCGACTGGGCGTTCTTGCCTTCGAGATCGTCTCTCGGGATTTCTACGAGTAAATGTCATCGTACCTTTCCCTGAAGGTGTACCTTCGCAGGACTTTGAGGAGGATTTGTTTTCGACGGTGGACAGGGGACGACATGATTCGGATACCACAATCAGGTAAATCCATTTGCTACGAGAGAAGTGTTTGAGACGGAAACCGGAGTGCGTCTGTTGTAGACAGATTATTTGCACGCTGAAACCAAATAAACTGTCTCTGTCCCCATATTGACCTGAGTCCCATCATGAGTCTTCTATCATTATTCGAGAAAGATTTCTACTACAGGCTTACGATGATCTTCCGTGAAACATTTTATCATATTGGATTAGTAACCGCAGATCCACTTGCAGGCTGTTACCATGTGTCCAAAAAAAATTACTCCAGTCAAAGCCTTACGCCTGAAATATAGAAACTGGAGGAGATGTAAAGCCCTTGGAAAAGAAATTTGTCACGTGTGCATGGTCCTCCAGCTGAACACCTCAATGGCAAATGAGATTCTACCAAGATACATTAGCTAGGACTATCAAAACTCGGATAAAACGCCACTCACATGAATCAAACCACTTGGAGCTATAAATAACAATGTTCAGCCTCACCACTCTTTCCTTGCACGACATGTCTGTGGAAGCACTGGTCTACAATCAACGGTTTCGACTCAGAAAGTTGATCTAAAGTCACGATATGGACAATCCTCTAGCTACCGAAAACCCTAGCCCATGGGTTCGATTCAAGCGGGCTTTGTCCCTCAGATATACCCAGCATGTCCGCGAACTCCCTCAACCACACGGTTTCACCTTGGATAGCTTTGTCGTGTCAAGAGTGACCAACCCTATACCAGTTTATTATATCTGGGAACTGTTGGATTCTTGGAGGCTCATCTCTTTGCTAATCTCGCTCATATCACTCATAATTTGGTTCAGTTTGATTACCTTGTTTTACCAATACTTTTCCGGTTTCGTGCTTGTGGATCTAAGCCTTCGTATCGGTTCTGTGGTCCCGAAGCTTTTCGGCTATCGAAGGGGTAAACCTAACCTCACATTAATGAGGTTCTATACAGATCATTTGCTTTACGTTTATGTATGTTGTACCACAGATTCATCAATTTCGATATCTTCGTACGTGCGCAAATTAACCTCTTTTAGAGCACCATTATATTGATCATTGTCTCAAAGACGGCGAACATCATCTCTCCAGAGCCTATATGGACATTTTTCTGGTCCATTTACTTCATGTTTGCACTGCGACGATCTCGCTTTACTCAGAACTATATGGCAGCTTGGAAGCTCAAATATGCTGAACACATCATGACCATATTTTTCGATGGAACACACTGTATACATGTACCGTGCGCCGATCCGTCGGAACCCACCATCGATGATAAGTGGCTGTGGAGGCACGTATCCTTCTTTTACCGCATGCTCAGAATCCAGGCCGGGCCTATTAGCTGGCTGCTTCCTACGTCATTAGTGAGAATTGAAATCGTGGAAGTAAGTTATCCTGCACGGCGCATAGCCTTGAGTAAGTTGCTGATGATTGAGTAAACAGTTAGTAGATGAGCATGATACTGGACCTCGTGTTCAAATCATACCGGTGGGGCGTGATGTCTACAGACAGTTCGAGGATTCAAGCACAAGCCACATGCCAGATGGTCGAAAGATCCATGTCGATCAGCTACAGAACGACATGGTCATCCGCCCCGTCGGCAGTCCTGGGAGAGCGTTGAATTTAGTGACGGGGTGGGATGCCAGTCTGATCTCGATTATTCTCATGGCACCCACAGCCCTCAGCATTATAATCAGCGTGGGCTGGCCCATGATAGCCGTTCTGAAATACGGCGCCGATGTACAGACGAGTGTTCAGACAGCCATATCTGTCGCCAGCTTCATTGTGACGGCTGCGGCGCTTCTCATTGGCTTGGTGACACTGTTCGATGCTCTATCAAAGTGATTCTTGCTGACGGCTGGACTGCATCTTATCGTGAACTCGATTACATTTACATGGTATGAGTTGACCATGAATATGTAGCCTTCGAAAGTTTAATTCAGTTTAATGTATAATAGCGAGGTGTGAATTAGTACTCAAAACTCTTCCATGGAATCCTAAATGATACCAAACAAGGAAACAGCCAACTAGACTGATATTCTACTCACTAGACCCAATAAAGTGCCCCTGTTCCCAATACTCTCCTGAATAAAATGTGACAACGACATAGAAAAGCTTCCTTAATCTTCAATGGTATTACACATGAGTTATTTGTGTGATCAGATTTGGCTCAGATCACTCTTTCCAATACACCATAAGATACACAATTAGACATAATACCATTGTCTCTCTTCACAGTAACCGATTCAACACAGTGAAATGTTCTTAATCAATATTCCTCTTTCTGATGCCTAGTAATCACTTGTAGGCTTTTCTGACGAGACCAACTTTCACGGCAAAGAGCACACATGAGTTATATCTTATGTATGTCTCCCCAGATCACTTCTCCATGTCTTGTCATGCTGGAAATTAATGGGGGTCCATTTGAGGGTATTGGTTTGATTACTCTGTGGCAACAGATATACATGACAAGTCCCATAGTTCATGGGAATGCCACGATATGAGGCAATGACACTCCGAAATACCTAGGTGAAAACCCGCGTAATTCCCACGAACTTCCTCAAATATAAAGAGGTGGTCGGGTGTATTAAGGCGGTTTAGCTTGTAATATACCGAAATATCACTTGATCTACGGTTTAGAAACAACAACACAAGCTAATATGTCTTATTGAAGATGCTGCATTAGGACGACCGAGAGTCATCAGGAGCTATTGCCAACCTGCAATCACCCGTAGTTCACAAATGACTGGTTCATCTGCAGCTCGTTGTGCAATGATCCAACGAAACCACTGGGACCTACCATGCTCGACAAAGACTTGAACTGGCTTTGCTGCTGATGATACCAATTCGATGCATCTTGTTCTCGTTGCTGCACCCACTGCTTGGCCTTTTCCGGGACGCCTTCTTTTTCAGCTACTACCTTCCCGGCGCCAAATGCAATGCTGGCGCCCCCTTTCAGTCCAGCCTTGAGCGAGTAAGCCTCACTCTGCGCAATAGACTCTCCCTTGTACCCTTTAGCTGAGAAGATACCTGGGAGCAAGCTTGATGCAGCACCGGTTCCGAAGGCCTTTCCTGCGCCCTCAAAAAGGCCGTAGTGCGTGCCGTAGAACTTGTTCGATATGGCGTTGTGCGCCACTGTCTGCAGCAGCGACTCGGTTGCTCCAATTAGAACTTGGCCGCCGACACTGGCCGCTCTGCCGATGACATTTTCCGCCGTCGTGCTCAGCGACCACCCAGCTGCCTGTCCGAGGCGTCCCGTGGCACTCACCAAGCGGGCTGGGGTGGCCACGGCGCCCAGGGCTCCGCTGGCCGCTCCAATGGCGGCATTCACGAGCACTGTGGCTGCGTAGCCTCCCCAGAACTTTCCACCCCGCTCATTGCGATGATCAAACGAATACGTTATCCCGGCGATACCGCCGCTGGCCAAAGCACCCGCAGCCGCAGCAGCAAGAGGCGCGGCGGCGCCTCCCGTGGCGATAGTCAAGGCGATAGCGCCGACCACCAAGGCGGCGCCAAGCACAGCACCCAGAACAGCTGACAGGGACCATTGCCCAGAAGGATCGGTATGGTTGATCGGATCGTTGTTCTCAAATGCCAGGCGGTTGAGGCCGTCGGTTCGTGCGAGGAACTTGACGGCTAGAACGTCATCTGGCGTGGTGTAGCGGCCCACCAAGGGATCGTACCATCTAGAGCCAAAGTCGAACAGCCCTGTGGGCTCATCGAGTCTCTTTGACTCATAGGTTGAGGTCCCGTCAAATGTCGGATCACCGCCTTGGATTGTTGTTATTGTTGGCGATCCGAAGTCGTCGTAGGTGATAGTTTCGAGGAGACTTGCGTCAGAGCCCCTGAATCTGTGGGTGACATTGCCCTTGTTATCGGTGAATAGTGCCGTCGGCATACTCTGTCCGCCGGTGGGAGAAGTTTTTGCTTGGGTCTTGCTAAAGCTCCCGAGCAAAGTACCGGCGCCGAACAGCTTGAGCGTGATGATCGTCGAACCGTCCGCCTGCGTTCTTTCGTTATAGTCGTCGCTGACCAAGAGGAGAGAGCCTCCGTTACCAGGCATAACGCGTCGCACGGTTTTCCCATCGGGACCACAAGTGATAGTTGTCTCTTCTTTGGCACTGTTGGTGTAGGAAGCGAGCAATCCAAAGGAGTCGTAGTTGAAATTCGTGACTGACTGCTGGGTCGTTCTAGTGATCATTCTCCCAGCCCTATCATACAGGATGTCGAAGACGGTCGAGCTACCAGTGACGCCATGAGCCCCATTACTGGTGTACGTGATCGTAGTGTCCCCTTTCGTTGAGAGATTGCCTGCTTTATCATAGGCATAATTCTTGGCGGCTGCAGTGCCAATTTGAGAGTTTTTGAGGCGCTTCCCATCGTAGTTGTACAAGGTAGTTGTGTTGCTCATGGCGTTGAGATTTTGAGCGAGTTGATCCGCTCCGTTATAAGTGTACTTCTCCTGAACAAGGGGATTGGACTTGCCGGTGGAAGGTTGCATCTGGTCGAGGGAGTGACTAAGGGGGTATGCCTGGAGGTCGTACGTGAACGTGTGCAAGAAGTCACTCTGCATACTGGCCTGCCCAACCATTATGTTGTTGGGCTTTCCAGTGGCGTCGACATATTCAAACCTACCATCGAGCCACGTCTCGCGCTGGCCGCTCACTGGCTCATAATAGAGCTGACTATACGATAGTAGAGCTCCGACGTATTGATTTTCTTTAGTGGCACCATTGGGGTACGACTTCAATGTCGTCTGCCCCTGCCAGTCATACTGAAAATTGGTTTCGTATTCTGTCCCATCCATAAAAGTCAATCTCCTAGAGCTCAGTCGAGCGAGCCCGTCGTATTCGAAACTTAACTTGGTTTCCATGGGCCCGTCAAGTCCCTTGGGGTAAACGGTCATGGATGACAGATTCTCCTCGCCACCTACGTCGTATTTGTAAACTAGAAGTCGACCGTCAAATCCTATTTTCTGAATGGGACGTCCCTTGGAATCCCTTTGGAACTTGATGGTCTCTCCATTCGCGTTGACTGTCTGGTAAAGCTGGCCGGTGCCGTCGTACTGGTAGGTCATTGCCCACTTCGGCGATGGCTTTGCTGGGTCGACCATATTCTGATAACAGTTCTGAATAGCTTGAAGTTGACTGAATGAGTTGTACTGCCTCGTCTCTTTGTTTCCTTGGGGATCAAGGCCCTGTGTCATGTTTCCGGAAACATCATATTGAAACTCTGAGACCATGCCGTCCTGATTTGTTGCTGCCATCACATATTCCTTGCCATTGATAGACTTGTAAGAACGAGGCGCAGACCAAAGCACAACGTCCTTGGCGTTGATGTTTGGATCCGGTCCCTTAATGTTTTCTAACACTGTTGCGCCACCAATTGAGTACTGTAGGCTTGAGACGACATTGAACGACGGATCGGAGGAGTTGTGGCTCGGACGGGTTTGACTGAGGACTCGACCAAGTTCGTCAAATACCGAAGTAGTGCCATCTGACGGCTGGTAGTGGGGTTCAAAGTTGTTCCAAGCAGTTGGGAGGAGAAAGCTTTCGAAGAGGACATTACCACGCGAATCGTAGGTCCAGTACTTCCAAGTAACGTGAGTGTTTTGTTGGCTAATAGCAGGGTCGACTCCTTGCCTGGATCTTTGCATCACCTTCTGCCCGGTGCAGTCGAGGACTTCCACAACTTCATGTTGACCAGAATCTTCTTCATTGAAATACGACAATGTGTTCTTGGTCAAGTATGGTTTCCCCGCGCTCTCGAAGCGATTGTAGCTATACTCCTGGAACGGGTCCAGGAGGCAGTCTGCAGAGCTAAGTTGATCCGCAAAGGTCGAGAACGCCAGAAATGGCTTCTGGCTAAAAAAGTCCTTGCCCGTGACTGTGAGCTTTCCTGGGGCAATGCTTTTCATGCGTGTCTCCACGTTTCTCCCGAAGCCGTCGACCCGGCTGCAGACAAGTCGACCGTTCGTTTCGAGTTTGGCCACCACCTTTCCGCTGGCCTGGTCATATGCAACAAATTGGGTCGTGAAAACGCCCTCACCAACTTCTATTTGTTTGATGGGGAGGTTATTGAACATGGAGTCGTACGTCGTCGTAGTCTTCAGTCCAGCAGGGTCGCTCATGGATGTTTCATTTCCGTATGTATCGAACTCAAACGTGGTAACCAGGAATTTGCCAACATCACTCGACCAGCGCAAGACTGTCTGCAAAAGAGCGGTGTCGGTACTATATGTGTATTGGGTCAAGGTAGCATCGCCATCCTCAAACTTGCTGACATCCTGATTCGCTTCTTTTGAGGAGAGTTTCTTGCCTGTCAGCAGCCCCGTGATGCCCTTGATAGTTACGTAAGTGCATCTTTCCCAAGACTCAAATACGGTAATACCTGATTGTATGTCCGAGGAATACTTGGTGGTGACGTTGCCATTTTCGTCGGTGGTGAACTGGGTCAATTGAATTCGCCCATTTTCTCCTCCAGTCTCAAGTTTGTCGAATATTTTGTTAACGTGATAAATATTCCATGCGTTTGTCGGAACCTTGACTAGATCGTAGTCAGTTGTCTGGGACGATAGCAATACGTCTTGCAACGTTTTGGTCTCGATCTGCGACTTTATTCCAGTCTTAGGGAACGGTTGAAAGTAATGTTCAACGGTCAAGATCTTATCAGTGGCGTTCGTAGTATTGATCGACTCAAACCCTAGCCAGCCCCTTCCACAGCTATTCACGCGGGCTTGTCTGTAGGTCTTTTGCAACAACACTTCGAAAGCCAAGGAGTTTGTAGCTGCGTTGTTGGTGTGCTTCAAAGACGTGACCACATAATTGGGGGCACCTTGAACGATATAGTTTTCAGGATCAGTGTCGGTGTAGGATTTCCAGTCAATTCCGGAATTGTACACGGCTCCGTCCGACAGACACCCATACGAAACGGTGGTCATGAGCCCCATAGAATCCTGGGCAGATGAGAGAAGATCTGTCGGGTGCGCTGTGTTGTAGACGGGGGCGATGGTCGGTGGCCCGGTATCTGCATTGAGGCTATAAAAAAGCCAATCACCCATACCGGTACCATTCAAGTCTGCTGGGATGACCTGGGTATTGGCGAATCCTGGATCTGTTGTAACGGGGTACTGCGTCACATTGCTCACGGTTCCGTCGGAGAGACCATCGACCGATAAGCACACGAAGTTGCTATTATCTTTCCGCTGGAAGATGTAAGCCAGACTGGGATAGAGTCCACCATTAATGTTGGTAACGGAGAAGTTGCCATCGCCTTTGGGTTCCGGTGCTTCTACTGTCTTGACCAACTTAGAGCAATGACCAAATCCACCCAAGCCGTCACCAAGTGAAACCTGAAAAGTGAACGTCGTGTTTGGTGACGCATACTCAGCCTTGCCAAGGACAATGTCCTGGGTGCCGTCTCCATTGATGTCGCAAGAAAGAACGCTCCATTTGGGATCTCCCTTTGCAAAAGGACCTCCAAGAAGTGACTCAACCACATTATTCAGATCGAACCCCTTGCGTGAATCAAAGACATCGGTGCAACGGAACGAGCTAGTTTTAATTTGGTATTGGTTGGGGTCTTCTGTTAGAAATTCCTGCCAGACGCGTACAAGACTGACAGCCCCGGTTCCCGAGTGTTTGAGGAGAAACCATTCAATCGTGTTCTCGAATGCGATCTGCGTATTCGTTTCGACGGCATCCCCAAGTCCAATGTCTCCAGATTTATCTGCAACTCCGGGAAAGTTTCGAAAGGAGATTGTCGATCCGTTTTTGTATATCTGTACTACATCAGCAACCCCAGTTCCAGTCATGTCCATAGCCATGAATTTGGACTCTGAATTCCATTGGAAAGGCGTCTTCTTGTTCTGCTGAATGGCTGTCAAGCTAACGCCGTTACTCTGTGAAAGGAAGAATTCAAGATTCCCTTGGTCGTTTTCGAAAGGAATAATCAGGTCTGAACGTCCGTCCCCGTGAAGATCTGGCGTTAGAAAGTCTGGCATCACAGCGTCCTTCTGCGTTGGGTCCCACCTGGGCATGTTCAGCTGGACATTCTTCTCCGATGGCGACCAGCTGATGCTGGGAATGGCATCGGCATCTCGGTCTGCCATATAAGTTTTGACCGTTAAAGTCTTGGCTGACTGATCCCACGCCATGCAAGCTATATCTGCGAGCGCCTTGCCCGTCATGTTCAGTGGAATCATAGCAATGACAACTTTCTCAGCCGAAAAGGGATTTGCCGGCACAGTTTTGAACACATCCGCCGGGCTGACTCCCGGGGTGGTGTAAGTGAACGAGGATGGAAGTAGGCTGACTCTTTCCGAGCCCCCCTGGGCACTTTCCACCACTTGCAACAGGTACGAATCTCCCGTGGTTGGTGACTGCCCGTAAGTGAGGGAATAGGACCTGTTGATCTTGAGTTGTCCACCCACGACAACACCGATGGATATGGAGCTGAGAAGATTCGCCCAGGTGATTATGTTTCCTTCTATGGATTGTGTAACTAGATCCGGACGCGGCTGGTAGTCAAAAGTGACACAGCGGGTCGCCGGCGCATTGGTGACGCTATTGGAGCAGTAGTAGATAGATGCAAGATACGATGTGTTGACATCTTTCGTGGCGTCTGGTGGCTGGGGAGACATAATGTAATTGTACAGCATAGTATTTCCATGGTAGTCTGTCTGTTTCTTCACCCGCCACTCCCTGGCCTTGTTGTCTGCTGAAACGATGCGGCTATCAGGTGTTGTCCCATATTCTATCTTCCGGCCCATGTTATCTTGAGCCAGAAAGCCACTCCCCTCGCCCAAAGCAGTAACTGTCAGGCCGGTATTGTTCGTTTCAGTGGTGTATACCGTATTCGGCCCGTTATAGTCTCCCTGGATGTTCAACAAGTCTAATCCGTCCATGATGAGCTTCGGTGTATAATAATCATAGTTCGTTGGTGGCTTGTTGACTTTATCGTAGACGACCTTTGGTGCGCCAAGATGAATACTAGATACTCCCCCGAGCGCCCAGCTGAATCCCATGATGCCATTTGGCGTCCCCTGGGAGTACTGCAGCGACAGATCAGGTTCATTTCCGGACTTTATGCCTCCGGGGGTTTCAATCTTAAGCATGTAACGAGAAAGGCCATTGTCATCAGTGTCAACCTTGCCCTGTCGGCGGCCAATAGCTGCATTGTAATCAGACATGATTTTGTGGTATGAGAGATGTAATGAAGAGGTATGATATCTTAGAAGTGTGATTTGGTTGATTCGTCTGGGTCTTGGATATGGGACAACAACTTTATGTGAAGGGCAGGCACGTTTTACTTATATAGCCCAAAACAACACGTTCAATCATAGCAAAAGCTGAACTTCCCTAGGCATATCCGCCCCCTATTCTATTGTCTAGAAAGGTTCTAGACTTGCATCACTGCCAGTGGGTGCTGAAGATGTAGGTTTGAGTTTCTGCACCACCCGTGTGCCGCAGTTCCGGCTCAACAGCGATTGGTAGGGCCTGGATGAGCCCCGATATTGAGTTTGTATTCCTGCAGCAAGGGCTACACATGTTTCGATCGGATTCTTCAGAGCTAAAAAGTAGGAGGGGATGCTCTTACTGCTTGGTGTCTTGGCCGGCTTCGATCTCAAGCAAGGAGCAGAGAGGGCACATGGCCTTACAGAATATCCTGAAACTTCATCAGTGATCTACGGTCATGAGGGGCGGCTAGTGTCTAGCGTGGTATCTGAAAAGCCCAGCTGAACGTGCAGATGGCAATAGATTGACGCCACTGCCGGCTGGAGCCGCCGGAATGCATGCCGCAGCGGCCCAAGTTCTTTTGTCTTGCATTCAAGTCATCATGATTTCAGAAACAGTGATCATACGGATTCTGGCGGTAGTACGAAGGCAAGGGCTGTTCAAATGACGCACAGTGGTTTCTCGCAGTGTTTACCCCTATATTCTCAAACATTCTGCTTGCCATATCCTTTTCAGCAGTTGTACTATCACTTGTTCGTGAAACGAACTCGCTCTAAACTACCCATCTATTCATTTCGCTCTTATCGCGTAGTCCAAGTAATTGCAGCTTGTACATCTCCTCCTATTGGAGGGATCAGCCTCCTTATGCCAATCCTTCTCCCGATAGTGACATAACCGTTCTATATCATACCGAGAAGTACTTTGACAAGGCTTCCGATACTCAGCTGTAATAGGTCTCACCTCACATGCGCTACTGGGATACCCTGGTCCAACAGCACAATCCTAAGGCATGGCCTAGGTCTACCATACACGGCCCAGATCATCCAGACCTCAGGGCTGACAGTGACTCAAGCTGGCCCGCGCCTCTTCATTACAACCTACAAGATACACAATATCTCTACTTCAAAGTAGTACTACTCCGACGAAATATTGCAACTTTCCTGCAAGTTCTACTATCGTCATCTAATTCTATTCGCCAAACTATGACATGATGAGTCTTCGACTGACACGCCGGACGTTATGTTCTAACGGTTCCTGATGTAGATTGTTATGGGGATATAAATGATTGAGGATATAGTTTTACTCTTGATTTTTTTTTTTTTTGTTTTCGAATGTCTTGTTATGCGGCAATCGTTGGAGTAAATTGAAAGTTTTGATTACTATGTGATAACACTACCTATAGCAATCAGATACCATACGGAACTTGTCCTACAGCTTGCATCCTTTCTATCACCGCGTCGCGATAAGCCCTCATTCCAGGACTTCGAGGATGGAACATCTTGATCATTGCTGCTGGGTAATACCAGCTCACATCCTGTGTTGTCAGACTATCAGAAGCAGCCTTCGCATTAATATCGTTTGTGAGAGTCGCCCATTCACCTGTTGGATTATTTCTGACTTCCCGAGAGAGCTCGCAGTAGAACTTTACAACCTTGTATCTGTCAGTATAATATCTAGTAACTAGTATCTTATTCAAATGGAAGGTCTTCTTACTAGGTCGGGGCATGGCCTAGCCGGCGGAGCGGGAAAGAGAAGGGTTGTAGTAAGGTGCTCAGGATTGTACTGAAACAGGGCAACAGTGCCTACTGCTG